AGTGTTGCCCGGTTGGAGCAATGGGCCTGTTGATGTTTCCATGGAAACCAATTTGACACGTGTAAAAGCAGCGTGCTGCTATCACCGGTGAAACAGGGCCCGGCCCAGATGTCGCCACACAGAGGCATTGTAAAATTTGCAAAATGCCCTGGCACCTGGTTTTAAAATGCCCATACCATTTTTACATGTGAAAATGTCTTACATTCCAAAAGTGGCTTAATTGCAATGCATTGTTGCTGTTGGGTTAAGAGGTGACAACAAATATGGAAACAGTGTTTTTTGCAATGGGTTAGTTTATTGAGCAAGATTACTTTGCTTGCAAATGCTTAAGAGTTAAGTATCATTTGTTTTCAAAATGGTACTCCATCTAACTTTATTCCCCGAAGGCCATGTATTTGTATTTATATTAAGAGCGATCCACATACAAAGTGAGTGGCGATTACTGCTCAGACTACTGTCCTTAACTTAATGTTACTATAGTCAGGCAAACCTAAGAAAGAATGGATTTAAAGTGCTTCGGTCATTGATGCATGTGCATTTATATTGAGAGCATATTTTCTCTTGCAACTTTTCACACAAATTTCTCCAAGCCATACATTTCAAGTGCTAAAAAAACGTGGAAAGTGATTCAGGCGCTTTAACTCTGTTCTTTCTTAGGTTTGCTAGACTATGCCTACTTACCTAAACAGTAGAACAGTATGGCTGAAAACAAAATATTAAATGCAATATTTATGCAAACAAAACTTATCAACAGGTGACAACCAAAGTGGGGCATTTTACAACACCCACCATGTAAAAGCTTAAAGCTCATTAGTGAAATAATAAGAATTCCTGCTCATGTTTTGTTGTCATTGGTACTGGTGCAGCTTTTCAATTTGTGATTTCAGTCATTTTGAATATACCTCATGTAGCAACCCTAACGAAAATGGCAATGGCTGGCTCATTAAAATGCACTAATCACCAGCTGCTAGTGAGGCTGGCAGACTCTCTAGTCAGGTCTTATCGAGCCCTGATGCCAATGCTAGCAATTAGCATCTGTCAAATAACTGCCAAGCATTGGTTTTTCTCAGTAATCATTCTCCTACATGTAAACATGCAAACAGGTGCAAAAACTTCCATTATTCTGTCTCAAATAAAACTTAACATTTTTTCCCAGTTTTGAATCTGATTTAGTGAGGTGCAGCAGATTGATTGACCTGTGCTATTTCTTTTTCAGGTTTTACAGTCATTCCCTCATAATGACATTCAGCCTTTATAGCCTGTTTGAGGCCTCACTGCTTGTCATCAATGGCATAGCAGTTCTGAATGAGGAGAGGTTCCTGTCAAAATGTAAGCAGGCTGATGGCTGTGGCATATATCAACTACCTAATAACTATCATTGATATGTTTTTCTTTTTAGTCGGACCTCTCTCCAACGGGCGCATGTCCCAATTATAGTAGAGGAGAGCTCCTCCCTCCGTCCTTCCCCACCCCCCAGGCTACGGCTGAAGTGGGAGCCTACCCCACACCTGCCGGGGACGCAGCCGGGGACGACGCCCGCGGAACGGGCGGAACCGGGAATCGAACCCGAAACCCGGCACCGCCCGCACCGCGGGTCGACGCCTTAACCGAATGCGCCACCAGGGCCGCTTGCACTTATTTGGAACCTTTTTTCATTTTACTATCATGCATGCAATGTAAGGTCATAGTCTACTCTAATCTGATGTCAGTAGCAACTGGTGTCAGACTCAGTACTTTACCACTGGCTGACTTTTCTTCTAGCTGCCCACTGTTAATCTCATTCTCTGTGAGCTGGGTACCTACCAAGATTTACCTACGGCCTACGGCTGTGTAATTGGTGCCTTCTGACGCCCGTGCTGCCCTCTATGCCACCTCAGTGGGTGGAAAGGACCAGCTGCGCGGTTTCGGCGAGGAGCCTGGCGCCAAACAGCAGCTCATCTCGCTCGTTCGCTCCGTGCGCACCGTGATGCGAAGTGAGTGCCGGGGAGTGGGCTCTGGGAGGGTTAAATGTCTGGGAGTGGGGGTGGGAGGGGAGGGTGGATGGAAGTGAGGTGGAACGCTCAATATGCGGTGCAGCTGATGGTCGAGGGAGATGGGCAACTGTCATGTAGCGGGATAAAAGTTATGGTTTTGGTGCGACCACATCGAGTGAAGTGGAGTGGCAGTTTGTGAGGAGTAGGGCTTTGGAATGTGGGAGCTCATTCAGCATCACAGAGTGAAACTACTCGCAGTAAATGCTAGGGGAAGGGGCGGTTAACGCTAAATGTCTGTAGCGGGGTGGAATTTACGGTAAGTGAGGCGTAAGTTGCAATGTGTTGGATTATTTATGCCGGTAGGGACTCTGTTTGCCGGATAGTGAGGCAATGCTCATTGCTCATTGCTCAGTGTCTGGGAGTATGGCGCGGCTCTCAGTGGCGGCTAGCGATCCAGTCTAAGCGCAGTGATTGTCGGGAATCGGAGCGGCTCTCAGGGTTTTTTCTTAAATGTGATCTAAGACTCACACAGCAAACCTTCCGTGTCGGGGCTCCTCTTCAGACCGCCCATGCGACTCGTTTCTTGGTAAAAACTTTAAAGGAAGGCTGTCGAGTTCGGGTAGATGGCGACACGTTCATACTTAATCAAAACGGACCTTCACCGGTTTCAGCTTTCAAGTTCACTTTTGTTGCCTATTTTTCTACTAATGATCCAAAATTAGCGCCATAATTGTATGATTACTACAGCTGTCTTTGTGTGTGCTGTCCACCCTATCATTGGAGGGCGCTTACGTTTTGATAATAGGTGATGTCCTCGCTCTTCTTTGTTGTCGTAGGAGCGGAAGTACGGGTTGTGTACAGTCTACAGTGGCCGAACTGGCCCATGTCCTTGGTGGTTTGCTCCGCTAGGTCCGAATGAATCCGTTTCCTGAGCGGACATCCTTAGGATGGTGGCGGTTGTCCTTCCTCGGTGCTGGTTGAAACATTCCTCGCACAGCGCATGTGTATGTCATGTGAGGGAAGAACAGCTCCAATTGTTCCAATTGGACCTAATTGAATCACTCTGGGTGCTGGAGCTGCATTAGTAGACTCCGTTATCCAATGCTCACTCCGGTTCATGATTTTGTTTCGGGCTGCTATTTCTAAGCGTAGATGGTAATTATTAGCGGCGTATTTAGCTGAGAACGGGATGGCTTGTCAGGAAATGGCCGCACATTTTTTCAATCGAATTAATCACTCTCTCTCTCAGCTCCCGATCCGTCCTTCAATGTTGCGTGACTAGCCTTTCGTGCCTGTATGAAATATAACGTTATCTGTAAACCGGTACTGCAGCTTTGACGATTGGTGAAAAAAGTGTGCACAATTTTGCATAGTACGGGACTTAAAGGGACTATCCCACCTTCTAAAATGTTGTTAAAACCAGTTAAATTGTGCCCGACTTTATAGATTGGATGAACAGGAACACGGTTCTGGTATTTATTTTTCATTAAACATCTTAGGCTTCCCATATTCCAAACAAAAACATTCAAATATGTGACGTCACAGCCCAAAATTACCTCCTTCCCCAGGCCACATTACTGTCATAAAGCTGATTCTTTTTACTCTGTAGGCACCACAACAAAGTTCAGACCAAGTTTTAAGCGATTTTTCAACGAACAAACCCATTGAAATCAGAATGACTAAATGAGATGACGTCACACTAACGGTCGCTCCATGTTGAAGATAGGGCCTTGTGCAAGGCCCATTTTCAAATGAAGGGAACGAATTTCTTCAACACCAAGAGGCCGCGGGGGTTGCAACCTAGATAGATAGTGGTTTCTGAACCTCGCCGCAAACTTGGCTATCTCAACTCAAACCCCATGTTAAAGGTGGGATAGTCCCTTTAATTAACCGGACTTAACGCAGTAGGTACAGGTCTCGCGAGATTAAGCGGTAGGTTTTGCACTTTTACATTTCCGGTTATATCTCAGAAACTAATCGATCTACGATGAAGCCATTTTACACGATCATGGCCGGCTTGTTACCCAACAAGTCGATCGCATCTTCAACACTTAAAAGCTTAAGACGACGAAGATATAGCCTGAAGTACACTAAATTTTCTAGGTGCAAAACCTACCGCTAAAACCCGCGACCCCTGTACCTATAATTCGCAGTATTATAGATAATTTAGTTAATTTAATCGAATCGATTTGATGACAAGCAGCGTCGATGTCCTAAACTCACTTCGGCGTGACCCTAATCACTTCGTTACATTTTGCCGATAACGTTCGTGAATCCATTGGTTTTGTATTCATCGTAGTTTGTAAATGGTAAAATTGTTCGTTTATCCTTCTTCTGACGCTACTTTTATTTGTCTGTTTCAGTCCCTTTGATATTTCTCAACGTGTTAACAATTCTATTCAGTTGATACTCGGCTAGCGTCCCTGTGAAAACTTTCTTCGAGAGAATATCGTTCGCTCTGTGACGTCACTGGTCGGTGCCGTGACGTCACTGATTCCCAGACAGTGTCCAGTGGCGGTGGCGGTGATAATGACAGCACGGGATCAGTGCTCCGGCAAACTATGCATCGTGTCACGAAATCAATTCAAATGGTGATCTGTTCCGCATTGAAGCCCGTGACAGTTGATCCAGTAATCGTGTGATGTGTTCGTCTTCACTGGACGGCAGCGTTGGAGGTGGCCGGCAGGGTCCCTTCCTCCCCACCCGAAGTGCGCGATGAAGTGAAACGCGACCGGTCGACAGTCCCGTCCGTACTGGCCAAGGTCTGTCGGCAGACCCGTACTGCAGGGTGCAGAGGCAGTCGGATGGTCTGCTGGGCTTCGCTGGTCTGCTACCTAGTGCTCGTGGCATGCCGCTGAGAATAGGTTGATTTTGTTGTGCCAGGCAGGGACATTTGTAATATATAGTCAAAATGTTTTTGCATTTGGCCTCGAACCTAAGCGATATTCATAAGAAGCGCGTGGTTGATGAGTAAAACTGTGAACAGTTGTCAAAACAGAGTTGCTGTTTCTTGAAGAACTGAAATAATTGAGGTACATTATTTTATTTTTTCAACCAATGAATACAATGACAACTGTCGCATGTCACCTTTACAAACGTGTTTAAAAAATAACATTTCACCTGCAGAGGAATAGGATGACCGCATTCGACTGACACGACTTACGGCATAACAACACACCAGCTCATAGACCTCGGTATACAGCGGTCTATGACTAGCTTAATAGATATCCAAAGCATTCCGATCCCAAATCATACCTACCCAAGAGCATTCGATGGTATTGTACATGCTTAACAGCACGATGGGTCTGTGTTACAGGCACAACTTGTCACACACACGACCACGACCAACGCTGAAATCACCGATATGTATATCAATGAATGATTCTACATACAATCAAACTTCAATTGTCATGCAATGGTCTAGCTGACTTATGAGCACTGAGGCACCTGACGCTGTGTACGCTTACAGTATGTCGTTGATGCAATGACCATAATATATAGCGTCAGAATCTGCGTGGACAACTTGGCGAAGAAGTTGATTATACATTTCCTGAATTGATCAAGAGAACACATAAGTGCACACATTGATTGATGGTGGTCTTCCCGGCCCCAAGCCGGCTGTGTTGGGACATGCTAACGTCACCCGGGTGACGTCACTGCTACGTCACGGCTGACGTCACATGTGGCCGAACTCTTTCATGTCCTCCACGATGCCGAGTAACCTCTCCTGGAGGGCCGGGGCGCACTTGCCCTCTTGCCATCGCTCCCGAAGTCGCTGCATCGCCTTGACGAAGTCTCCCATATTGGTGCCGCCCAGTAGGTCGTTCCGATCCTCGTCCGAGGAAAACAGCAGCTGACACGAGCAGGGAAAGAAGGGAGGGGAGTCAGCGTGCTGGTAAGGACGCTGTGAACGGGAGCTGACCCAAGCAGGGAAATGGGGTCCACACTTGTGCGAACTCTTGGCCATTGCGCGCAACAAGTATGATCGGCGCTTAGGTGAATTTGGGCTTGTGGATGCCGATGGTAAACCAACCTGACACTCAGGATGATCAACTACCTGAAACGCCGCGAAATAAGTTCCCAACCCGCCGTGGTAAGTGACGATGTCGTTCCTTAACCTTGAAATCCGCCCTGTCGCTAGCATTTCTCTCACAATCTCCCTTTTGAGTACTATGAATAACTTGTCGAGCTTCGATCGAGATCGTCTCACCTGTACCACGTTGAGTGCGAAGCTGATGTACTGAGCCAGGCCATTGCTGTACCGGGCGATCAGCCAGTCGACGCTGAGCCAGGGCGCCACCTGTTCGGGATCCTCGCCGAGCTCCAGCAGCTGGCTGCGGAACGCTTCCTCGTACCTGGCCATCAAGCGGGCACGGAATGGCAGTGGGTGCTGATGGGCACGGTATCTGTCTCTGGGCTAGGAGACTGTACCTTTTTCTCTGATTGACAAGTCACCATTGATTACGTAACATGTCGGGGTCGGTACACTGTCTTCATCTCCCAGTGTTTAGAGTCTATCACGGACCCATGACACCATCACAGAGCGCATACCTCATCACTCAACCTCATGCACGCGGTGCCCCTCAAGTAACAACAAACAGACAAACAGTCTAATAGCCATCAACCATAAACTGCAGGTGGCCATGGCAATAAACAAGCAAGGCACTCAGACGGCAGGCACACACCGATGGAAACCACACAGTCCCCCTCTCACCAGGTGAGCATCTGCCGGAGGTGGTCGCGCCGCGTCTCCCTCCTGCTCGAGCTGATGAGGCAGTACACCAGGTCATAGGCGAGGTCGCCGAACTGGCACATCTGCAGATCCACGAAGCGGACCTCGACCGGGTGGTTAGTGCCGTCGGCATCCGTCTCGTACTGCCGGAGAGGTCGAGGGACGGGCGGGTCAGAGAGCTGTGAGCAGGCGTGTTCCGGGTCCGCTTTAGGAGCGAAGGTTTAATAGGATTACCTTAAAAATTCAATTTGAGGGTAAGCTCATCTAACCAAAATTATATTGCTTATCAATTTTAGAATCATCAGTAATGCTTTAGTTCAGTGGGTAACAATATACATAGAGAAAGGCGCAAAAGAATACCCAACCCTGGTATGGTATCGGCTTAGCCGGCGCGCTCTAGCGGTTGCGTATTGACGCGAATGTTCAGAAGTGTGTGACTACAACTGTAGGCTTTGTACCCGGAACATCATGTTGCTGCTCCAGAGGTCGCCGTGCACCAGGGTGACCACGTCCAGGTCCTCGGAGAAGGCGTTCTTGTAGGTCTCCTTGACATAGTCGACGTGGCAGAACTTGGCCAGCACATCGGCCTCCTTCTGCAAGCCCATGTACTCCAGCGCGGCGCAGCACGGTGACCGCTCAGCCGACAGGTCATCCAAGCCCTCGGGCAGTTTGCCAACCACCTGGCGGAGCGAGGGTGGTCTCAGACATGATACGGCAGTCATATTGAATGAGGCTTCAATGAGACACAGTGAACCAGACAAAATACTGGACATTGATAATGATCATCTCTTTCCAACAAAAGCACATGGTCAATAATTTGATCGTTTCAAAAGAGCATCTTTACATTGGCTGATTAAATAGCGCTGCTCACAAGAACACTCCTACAAACAGAGCACCCCGTGTTTTATTTTAAACCCTTAGGTTCTGTCTGGTGAACCGGCGCTGTGACTGACCTGCCGCAGCCGGTCGGCACGCTCAGAGTGCCTCTGTCGGAGGACCAGACCGACAGAGTGGAACCGGGCCAGGGCCGGCATCAGCAGCTTCAGGTGCTCCAGGCCCATGCCCACCTGAAAGGAGGCGGGTGGTTACATGAGTGGAACCGGGCCAGGGCTGGCATCAGCAGCTTCAGGTGCTCCAGGCCCATGCCCACCTGAAAGGAAGCGGGTGGTTACGTCACTGAGTGTCAGCCGGCGGTGACGTCATTCAGTGTCAGCGGGTAGTGACGTCACTGAGTGCCAGTCCGGGTGATGACTTTTATTGGATGTCAGCCGGCGGTCATTGGGTCACAGTCATGTCACAGTCATTGGGTGTCAGCCTGGATGGCGAGGTCACTATATTTTCAGTTGATGGTGACGGTCATTGGGTGTCGGCCGGCGGTGACCTCTCTGAGTACCAGTTGGTGCTGACAGTCGCTAGGTGTCAGCTAATGGTGACCTAACCGAGTGCCATTGTCAATGGATGGACATTGGACATTGTTGGACGAAATGGTTGGTCTGAAAGGACGGACGGGCGCGAGTGGGCGCTCAATCGATGTTTCAGAAGCTGCTTCTCAAACTCGCGATTGGGCATCTGTGAATCTAGCGAGCCCATGTGTGGCTTAACCCTCGCCGGACCTATTGGTTTTCTACATACGCGCCGGCCGAGGGGGGGGGGGGGGCGGGTACGACCCCCCCCTCGCCGTTTCGCCCCTGGTGGAGCTAGCGCGTCGCGGAAAAAACGAGCGTGTGCGCCGTTACGAGACGCAGAGATTGGTACCCGATTTTAAGGTCCTAGGTCAACCGGTGACCTCTGAGGTCAGGTCAAGTGCCCCAAGGTACGGTTCAGTTTTTGGTGAATAACTTCGCAAAAAACGGCCGCAGAGCGCCGATTTTGGCAGCATCGTGTTCGTCTCGCTCAGGCGCGTCGAATGATATACTTTTTGTCCGGGTCAGGTCAACTTGGGGTGGTGACCTCAGGTCAAGGTAAGGTCAGCACCCCCAGGTCACGAAGTTGGTCGAAAGAGGTCATGTCGCATATCATTCGATTCGGCAGGTCTTCCTGAGTCCATTGGTGGCTTTCCCGACTCGCTAGCTCAATTTGATCAAGAGTTATTGACGAAAAACTAATATGACCTTGATGACGTCATAAATGACGTCACGCAAGGTCAACATTGCAAAAGTGACGCATCTACCCTTGCAAGGAGTGCATCAAATCACGATTCTGTATGCTTGAGATAGTTGGAGATCGTTCCCGGCGCCAGAATAGCAGTTTTCATTTTTCCCCATTGACTTATAATGGTGAGGTCACGAAAATGACCTGACCTCATATGACCTTTAGGAAAAATCCGAGATATACAAGTTGTGGGACTCATAATGGATACTAGATCCTGCAAGTTTCATTTCCCTGTGACATCTCCTCTGGCAGTGAGGGCGTTGCGAAGTTGCGACATCTGAAGACCGTGCAGAGGTTCACTTATGACGTCATAGGTCAGTGACCTGACCTGACCCAAAAATGCGGTTGGTGTCAAAAGATCCGGCTTGGATCAAAGGTCAGGTATGCCAAGTTTCAGCTCTCTATCGCCAGGGTGTTTGGAGCTATCGCGAAAAAAAAACCCTATGGGGGGGGGGGGCGGCACCCGCCCCCCCCCCCTCGGCCGGCGAGGGTTAAAGATGCTATTTGTGGATGCTAATTCGGGCCAATCGCTGTCCACGTCTCGCCAATGGGCCTGGCACAATGGCGCGCGGCAGAAGGCGGCTCCGGTCCGTCCTTCCGCTGAGTGTGTGTGTGGCCTGTGTACTGCGGATGACGGTGCGTCTGCCTCTCAAGGCTGAATCTATCGGCGAGGGGTGTGGGCTCTCGAGCTGATAGGCGCCGCGCGCAGCGGTCCTGTCCGGATCAGACAGGACCGGTGGTGACCTTGGGCCGGCCTATCTGACGAGGGCACTCCAATACACAGGGCTCCGATTACCTGCTTATTTAGATACGGAGGAGGACCCGGTGTCACATGAGACCAGAGAAAGCCATCATTTCGTTTTTACTATGCGCTTTTACAGCGTTCGATAACCTGCGGAGCTGCACCTTCCATATGAGACGGCATAATGGCTATGTGAAAAGTGGAACACATCACAGTTTGGTTGAAATCGTCAATCGTCACAATTTGGTTTCAGTCAATTTGTCTAAGCATCCCCAATCTCAATTATCCTTTGCCCATAATTACACTTATGTATGATCATGATGAACAAGCAATGTGCTTAAATATGTATTCTACATTAAACCTCTGGCTCTGTAAACCAAACCGTTAGAGGTCTATGATTACAGATACAGAGGTCTATGATTCTACCTATCGGCCGTTGAGCGTCGATTTCGTTCGTCGAGTCCATGCACCCGGCTGACCTTTTTGTCGATGACCTGGAAGTCTTGTAGCAGCTCAATGACGAGCATCTCTGTCTGCGTCTGGTCTTCGAGCGGCTGGTCCCGCCCGTCACGGACCTCTCCTGCCACCGTCATCCGGCCGTAGACGTAGCGCGGGAACGGCAGCAGCGCCTGTGGACGTGCGGACGTCGAGGGTCGGGGTTAGAACTTAGACACACGGCAGCAGCGCCTGAGGACGTGTGGACTTCGGAGGGTCGGGGTTAGACACACGGCAGCAGCACCTGAGGACGGGTCGGAGTTGGACACACGGCAGGCCGGCGGGTCGGAGTTAGACACACGGCAGCAGCACCTGAGGACGGGTCGGAGTTAGACACACGGCAGGCCGGCGGGTCGGAGTTAGACACACGGCAGCAGTAGTACCTGAGGATGGATCGGAGCTAGACACGCGGCAGCATTTACAGCCGACGGGTCGGAGTTAGACACACGGCAGCAGCCCCTGAGGACGGGTCGGAGTTAGGCTCACGGCAGGATCACCAGCCGACGGGTCGGAGTTAGACACAAGGCAGCAGCACCTGAGGACGGGTCGGAGTTAGACCCACGGCAGCAGCAGTACCTGCGGACACCGGCGGGCGGGACAGAGTCAGGCACGCTGATGGTGAGAGCATCAGGCAACTGACTGACAGAGTTCTTACTTATCAGCGGGTTCCAGTGAAGTGAGGCGGTCCTCATCAGTGAGCTCCAGTGAACTGACAGGGCCCTCAGTCTAATGTCTACATTTCGTCATCAGGCGATCAGCGCTTAGGCTGAGAATGTACACACAGCTTTGCACACAAACATAACCTCTGCTTTTACAAGCGGTAGCATGATTACATGTTATCGGGTGCATTGGCAGATGATTGGGTCGCAGATTAGGGACAAGTTGTACCCTATGAACCTACTCCTGGCACTTTATACCTATTTCCTCGCAGTGAGAGCTCGGGGGATATGAGCCGGAGTGCTTGATGGTCATGGTAATGGGCACCTACTTCCTACATGCTCACATTCCGTTCGTGTCCCATTTTATACCTGTTTCCCTCGCTGTGAGAGGATGTGTCGGAAGTGCTCGATGACTTGGCAGTACATGATCACCTCTCGCTCGTAGAGACCCATCTCACGTACGACGCCGACGAAGTTTCCACCTAAGGCAAACGCACGACGTCAACGTGGACCGTCCAACATGTTTCATGCATGTCTCTGTATTGTACAGATGGATGGGTTTCCTACAATCGCTGACGTAATCATACCTCCTTGTCCATCCCTCGCAGCTGCTTTTGTATCCATCAGCCCGCAGATAGATTAGTCCTCCCTAAACCCGGTGATTTCCCTAATAACCCCGATTAGCATGTCCATGTGGTAACTGCAAACCCAGCTAATTTCCTCCGGATCGAGGTGAGTTTTGACGAATTACATCAACTTTAAGGGTGACAGGTCGGGTCAAATACCATTCTTGATAAAATAAATAATAGAGGTCAAATGTTTCTTGGTTTTTCGTGACTAGCTTCGACAAAAATCGCTGTATTGCTATGGATTTGACATTGGGGCGTTTGTCATGCCCATGCTGTAAACATGGATGATTTTTTCGTTGGCCATCTTTCGATTGATTCATTTCGATTGTTCACTGTTTATCTCAAGTCAGAGTCACGCCTTATCTTGTTGGGGCAAGACATTAAACGATAGACAAGTAAATAACATTCGATTTCGCTGCTCATTCTTTGCTTAATTACGGAGCGAGCGAAGCGAGCGGAGTCTTTCCTTAGATTAACGGAAATTTCTGAGTATGAGCGGCCGGCCGGCCGGCCGGCCGTGGTCACGGTTTTGCGACGCTTATATCTCAGCAACCACTTGACCGATTTACACCCGGTAATTTTTGTAGGGTAGCTTCATTCCTTCTACCAAGTATTGGACTATTCCCGATGCATGTAGGTGACCCCTTATGCACGTGCCACGTGCAAAACGAAGAGGTGTCACTTTTGTAATTGTTGCAATATCTCGGTAACTACTCGGCCGATTGCGCTGAAAGTTGGCATGTAGGTAGGCACCCACTAGGCAATGCATATCCATGTGCCAGAGTTGGGGTGCTGCTGCACGTGCGCACGTGCAGGGGTCGATTCCAGATCTCGAGAACGGCTGGAACGATTGCGCTCAAATTTGGTACACGGTTACGGAGCAGTTAGTAGGGTGCCGTGCACAAGTCAGTTGGGACCCATTTTGCACGTGCGCACGTGCAGGGTGCCGCTTCCAGATCTCGAGAACGGCTGGGCCGATTGTGCTCAAATTCGGCACATCGCTAGAGACCGGTTAGTAGGGTGCCGTGCACAAGTCAGTTGGAGGTACCCCCTCGCAATTTCGCACGTGCAAGGCCCACCCTCTCGCTCGCTCCGTTAGTCGCCCCATAAGGCGCTATACTGGTTGTTAGCATCACAGGCCTTGCTTTCGCGACTCGCTAACTCAATATGATTACGAGATAGTTATTGACGGAACGTTCTGACCAGTGACCTGAAATAGTCAAATGATTTCACTGACGCCATGCCTATATGCTGGCACACATAGTTCATAAAAAAACGATAATCGGATCATTCAAGCAGCTCGTGAAATGATCCGAGCACTTCGATTAGGATACAATCCTATTAGGATCGGATTTTATCATTTATGCCGCAAAATAAGCAGTTTCAGTGCCTATTTCCCTTTTTAGTTAAAATGGTGATAAGGGATTTTTTAATGACCTCACCTCAGATGGCACCCTTAATAGATATCAGGTATAGTCAAAAAGTAAGAACCAGGAAGAGTTTCGCCTTCTAAAATATGCACCTTTCTGCCAAATATTCCCTGGAAGTTGGAACTGATAGCGTCGCAAAATCACACTTTTAGACTCGCCTTACGCAAGAGGCCAGTGGCTTGACCTGAGAGTGAAATAGGTGTTCTAGAATTTTGAGTTTGAGTCAATTGTGAGGTAGTCCAAATTTTAACCCCGAAGCATTCCATAACGACGACTGCGAACACGAACACCAATCCGGTAAAGCAAATGGTAAGCCATGACAAAACAGGGGGGGGGAGACAGGTACTCACTGGGAACCTTGACGACCATGACGAGCACATCCTCCTTTCCGCTGCTCTCGTCGCGATAGGTCACCTCGAGCACCTTACGCACGGTGGTGTAGCCCTCGCCCAGACTGGCGATCGGCCGGTACCGGTAACTCTTCAACACCGCCTGGGAGTCGGCCGGCAGGAAGTTCTTGAGGAACAGCCGCGCCAGCTCGTCAGTGATGCTGTGCTGCTGCGGCACGTCGTCGACGCTGGGGATGGCGGACGGTGGCGCCGGCTCGCCCTCCGCCGGGCCGTCCTGCGCCGGCTGCGTGCCCGGCTCTTTGGCGGATGGTCCGTCCATGGTCGTTCACTCGACTCGGTGAGAGCTGTACGCCGCACCGCGCTGCCGCCGACCGTTCCCCGTCGCTGACTGGTGTGGTGTGCCGCGGCCGCGAGCGGCGGCTGCCGCCCCGCCCCCGTCGTCGTGATAGCGTAACGGGAGGCAGCCGGCTCAAGGTGACGCAACAGCGCACTCAGCGGAGCGCGGAGCGCCGGCGGAGGATGGCGGTTTGTGCCGAGTCACGGCGCGATTCTGAGTGACGACATCCTGATCAGCGCCAAACATGGGCGTGTGGTCTACACTCTACATGACGTGGCCATGGGGTAGCATTTGTCAGAGGAGGAGATTGATTCCGGTCGTGGCGCTGATTTAAGTGAGCGGTGACAGGAGCTGATTGCCTTACTCAGTGCATCGGTAGCAGTTCGTGGAATGTTAACAATGGGTGCTCGGCGTGCGAGTGAATCTGATCAGGCTGCATCGGCTCCTGGAGAAGACGACTTCTGTTATCAACATTCTCTCGATATTAGTTCTCTACACGTCAGTTACCTCTACTATATTCCTTCCTTTTTTTTCGCTAACTGCACATGTCACGATTCATTTTAATGAACCACCTCTTGTTTTTCTCATTTCTGTCTTCGGTGCGACCCATTCAGCATCTTTTGACCTTGCGTCAGACGCACAAGGTCAGACCAATTTACCCAGCTCGAAGTAAACAGCTGGGTGCGCACTGCGCTGCAGGCTGCGCCGCTACGCTTTTGGTAGGCACTTGTTTATTTGTGAGCGGCTGGCTATCGAAGTCGGTCTTGCGTCCGACGGGCTTTTAACCCTAGCCGGCACAGTGGGGGGGGGTGGGGGGGGGGGGTTGATGCAAACTCCCTAAGGCTTTTCGCAAATAGCTCGCCTAAAAAGCGGCCTATCGTGACGAAACTTTTAGTACCCTCGCGTTGCTCAATTTTACGCCTACCCTGAAAATTGCATGACCCTGACCCAAATGGCCTTTGACCTGTGACCTATTTTCCGGGACCATGTTTGGCCGGAATCGCGATTCGGCGTATGTCGGCTCGCAACATGTGATTTGATGTTGCTCCCATGCATTAGGGTGTATGTCAAGGTCACCTGAGGGTCAAGTCAGGCCATTGACCTTTGACGACCCCGGCTCACTTTTTCGAGTTTTACATGTTTCTGGGCTAGTTTTTGGAGCTGAATTCGAATTTAGCAACAATTTGAACATTTTCGAAGTAGTTTTGGTGCCTTCGTAGCATGCTGCGAAGCTGTCAGAGGCGGTTGACACGTACTACGAATACCCGGCAGGACCCTTACTGGTTGACCTGACCTGACCTGACCCGACGTCTGGCCTAAATGCATAAAGACATCATCTGTGATCAACACCAACATGATATTCGTGATTAGCACCCCGAAAAACCTCAGCAGCCACAATTTACGACGTTCTAACAAGTCCCGATTTTCCCGACTTTTGGTTCATTGACCTGACCTGGAAAGTCAACCGATGACCTAGGACCTTAAAATTGGGTATTATCGGCTTCCTCTCGTCACGGGCAACATGCTCGTTTTTTCCGCGAAGCTCTAGCTCGATCAGGGGCCAAACGCAAGGGAGTGGGGTCGTACCAACCCCCCCCCCCTTGTCCCGTCGAAGGACGCGAAATGGCCTGTGCCGGCGAGGGTTAAACTTATCTCGGAGGTCGCTAGTTGATCTGAGACCCTGAAATTGGGTACCAGTCGCTGCGTCTTGTAACAGAGCACACGCTCGTTTTTCTGGGATTCTATAGCTCAGACAGGGGCAAAACGGCGAGTAGTTTCACCGCCTCTTACCCGCTCAAACCGATAGGTCGATGAGTGATAAGACGAGCGTGAACTAGATAAAAAACGTTTACGATGAATTATGGAATACAAAATGAATGAGATTTAATCTCGATAGGTTCGTTAATACAAGGAGTCCCTTCGCTTGTTTTGGGGAATTCGTCAGCTTCGGGTGCCTCTGCTGGGGAGCGGAAGGGAGTCTTCCCTTCTCAGTCTTTATGGTAAATTACATGCCACCTATGTGTCCAGTCCCCGCCTAGTGTCGCTACTTCCTCCTCGTTCCCACCACAGACCTGCTTGGTCACGTCTTCGCCTACCGCTTTCAAGAAAATACGGAAAAATACAGGAGTTGTATATTTCTATAGACCATGGGTACTTTAGAAACCACTTCTTCCAGGTTGGGCGGAAGCCTGGTGATTGGTTTTGTGGAGATGTCGGCCGCTCTTCTGTCTGCAGTCATGGTCACTTCGTTTGGGTGTTTGCTCGCTGCACGTCTTTAGATCGCAGGCCTCGACACTTACTGCAATTTTTCCATTTATTCTGCGAAAAGGAAAGCAAGAATCAATTTAGAGCTCTACTTTTTATTACAAGTTTTAGCTGGCCTTTATTAATGATAACTTTTTTTTCATTATCATTTAATTCATCCATATCACGCAACCCATGTCCAGTACTTACATAGAACGTGAACTACTCGATCCACCAGCAAGTTTCTTGAAATACGTAGCGGAATCGCTGTACTCGCTTACCTGTCACACATGTGGCCTGACCGCCGATGTTGACTGGTGGTGATGTCTCGAGTCTTGTTCTTCACTTGACGCCGTTCTCAGCTCTGACTCGGCTGTTCGACGCTGTTGGTGTCAGCTTCTTTTGAACACAGCTGTTCGATTGCCGACTCTGCAACTCTATTTCTTCATCCCCCTGTAAAACTCGGTAAGAAATCAGGCGCAAGACATCCGAAACACCCACGTCGACGTTTTTGTCATGCTGCAGATCAAAAGTTTCGTTAAAAGCGTTTTAGTTTTTTTACGAATATGTTCAATGAAATAAATTGTATTAGCAGTGTAGACAAGCGAATACATTACAGATTCACTGGCGAATGCGTTTAAACGGACCCTTATTTTCATTGAATCGATTTGTTTCGTCATGCGTAAGCTTCGTCATTTAACTCATTGGCACATGTTGCGTGGAATGTAATTGTCGTTTATTGCCCATTACACCGGCGAAGTTTTTGCATCGCGCAGTAACAGAATAATGATATAATGATATGATGATATGATGGTCCTATGATAAATCTATGATGTGACCGTACAGTTACCATCTGATTCATTTGCACTTACGTCAAAGTAGAGTCCATATGCTGCCATTACATTTCACAAAGCATGCAACATTCTCACATTCATCCAGCATTCATTCACATTCACTCATGCACCCGTTTTATTATCGATATTTGCATATACCTAATTGTTCGTTGATTCAGCATCTACTCATTCATCCGTACCTTCGCCTTGCATTCAGGATGAGGCAGAGACGATTGTGGGTTTGGAATATGGCTGTGGAATGATTGAAACGGATTTAACTAAACACTCAAATTTACCACTTGCTTAACTTTAAATATTTTAAAAGATACAATTATACCGACATTTACTTTAATCTATTACGTTTATATTACCAACATGTTATATTTTTTCACTATGTTATTGTTCTTGAAAGTTGTATGCTCAGCATTTCCTCTATTTCCACATTTCCTCTCAGCATTTCCTCAGCATTCGGTCGGCCGGCTCACCGCAGGGTCCCAGCTCCGCCGGCAGCCACTGACGGTCCACACAGCGGATCTCGTGCTGCGCGCCGTTCTGGCAGGTGTAGAGTACCACGGCACCCTCCTGTCTCCCTTCGTCCCAGGTCACGTTGCGCGCCTCAGTGCCGTTCCCCGGGTCAGGGATGTCGTCCAGACAGGAGACTGCAACGGCGCATAGCGGGGGATCACCGGCTGCTCCGGGGGCGAGCAGCTGCGCGGTCAGAGGGCCTCTGATCCCTGATCCATCGATTTCTGACACATCCCATCTTACCGCTGATCCCTCTATCCCTTATATTTGATGCCTATATCTCTTATCCATCTATATCTAATCCCTGATCCCTTTAGACACGATCCTACATTCATATCTCCGATGCCTCCAGATCGGATCCATGATTCCTCTGTCTCTGATCCCTGATTCCTCTGTCTCTGATCCCTGATTCCTCTGTCTCTGTTCTCTGATTCCTCTGCCTCTGATCATTTTACCTCTATGTCTGCTCATTGTATTTTTTTATCTCTGATCACCTCATATGTGATCATTTTATCTCTTATTTTATTTGTGATCTCTGATCATTTTATCTATATTCTCTGATAATTTTATCTCCGATTTCTGATCTCTACGTCTGCTCCGCGCCTGGGTCGCCATCGCTCGGGCACCCACCGCACGGCTCCACGGTGCCGTTCCAGCCCTCGGCCGTGCAGTTCAGCGTCTGCTCGGTGCTGTTGGACGCCAGCGTGGCGGTGACGTTGGAGCAGTAGAAGGTGACGTTGGTGCCGATCGGCACCCACTGTGACGTCAGGTTCTCCGGCAGGTCCCACGTCTGGGTGACTCCGTCCGGCACCGGCGGCAGCTGACAGTCTACGGCAGAGACACGAGAGATGGTGTGGATTGTAATGTGACGTCAATTTTTACATCATACTCGACGATCAGCCGGTTTGTGCAGAGGCTTCGTATACCATCGGCGCCATGCATATCAGTAATGACAATAATATATGACCGTGGCTCTCTGACACATGGCTCAATTGCTTAGTGAATTCAGCTCGATACGCTCGTACCAACGCTTTCGGCACCATCCTCTGCCCGTGTCCCTACTCACGGTCGCACGGCTCCGGCGGCCGCGTCCATCCCTGTTCGGTACACGCCATCGTCTGTTCCGTCTCGCCGTCGACTGTGCCCATCGTATGGATACACTCGTATGTGAGCGAGCTACCCAGAAGACCGGTGGTGTTTCCGGTACGGTTCTGAGAGGGACCCGCCTCGGTGAGATTGCCGTTGCACACTGAAACATGGGGATGGAGAGGTAGATGATGAACAAAGACCATGTATCGGAGCATGTGATTATCATACAGCTGACATGTTTAAAAAGAAGCGTTTGTTTCCTTTTAAACACAAGACTCTTGTGTTGTATAATCAATATTCAATAAACAAAAAAACAAATCGTCTCGCTGCATTGTTGACGTCAAATAACCCTCATGCTGACCCCCCTAGCGCCGACCCCCATTGAGTCTGGTCGAGCCCCCACTTACTATCACAGACGATCATCTCTGCCTCGGTCCAGCCCGTCTCCCCGCACGTGAGCTCCAG